TTGCTGTCAGCAGATGGTGCCCTGGTCGGGATTGAGGAACGAGAAATACTTTCCAGAGAGTGTTTGGCACTGTGGCAGCCTTGTCTGGATTCAGTTAGAAGAGGACAAGGTCCTCAGTTGGTGTCTCCTTGCAATGTCAACTTTAGCCCCTTGGAAGCATCCCAGCTCACATTCAGAGATGGTTCTGTCCCCAGAAAACTCTTTGTTATGATATCACTGTTGGCTTTTGTCTACAAATTACTGTACAACTTAAATGTCAGTATTCAAAAACTGAAGTGCACGGGGTTTGTCCAGCCAGAAGTACAAATGAAATTTAGTTTGGGCTCCTGGCAAGACTTGCTTTTACATTTATCAAACTGACATTCAAACCAAAGAAGTAAAAATACAGCTAAAATATCAGGTGCCACTGAATGCCTGGAGAAACCATGACAGGAGTAGTGCTTTTCTTTCCCTTCTATAATCAAATTTATCTATTCTTCTGAACAAACATCTGCATGAAGTATTTAGTAGTTCCTTCTTTTTTCCCTTGGATCTGATTTTGCATCTTAAACAAGCCAATAGCTCAGCCAGCTTGGATGGGGTGTTGTTTGTGGCTGTGTGAAAACCCTTTAATGCTCATGGTATCTGGGATGTCCAAATGCAGGCTGCAAAGCCTTGGTAAGCACCCCAGGTCTGTAAGTGTGGCCAAGCAGAAAAGGTTCCAGCTTCCAACTTCTAACTGGTTGCCTTGTCCAGTAAAGCCATTTCTCAGCTTCAGTCTCTCTTGACTTTTAATTTGGAGCAGTAACTCAATTCCTGCAAATAGTAGGACTCGCTCTGGGTAGATATGCCAAAGCATTCTTTCTTTTCCAAATTCTCATCTTGTAGCCCAACAGAATGAAAAACTTGTCCATGCTTTTACCATCCGTAATATTAAAACATTTTTTTAAGCAACTATTGATATCTTAGCTGAAAATACTGTTTTCCAGAAGCTTTTTTTCCTACTGAATAGGATCATCTACCTTTCTTTTTCACTGTTTCTAGCTTCTTCTACCTGATTTTTTTAAATGTTCAATATTGACTTCATCTTCAGTGTCGTGATGCTGGGATCTGCTCTGTAGACCCTTCCTGTTCCAGCTTGTATTGTTGCTGTTCTGCCTAGCACTCGTAAAGCTCAGTATGCCTCAGGTGGGCAGGTGTTTCTAGATGTAGCTCTGCAGGAGAGGTCCATCCTTCATCCCAGCTACTAAAGGGATTGGTAGTCATACTTTTCCCTCCACGTCATTTTGAGATGTTAAAGGAGGAAGATTTCAGATATCCTGTGTCATACCCTCTTGTACCTACTTGGCATGGAAAGGTCTTTGAGAACGAGAAGTCAGAGGATACAGACCATTACCTACATGTCCTCTCCTATCTGTTACCTGAAGATGGAGCCCTGTTTACAGACAAACTCCATGTGATAGTTAGCTGGCAGCCCCCTCCACTTCCCCCCACCCAGGGAATCTGGGAGAGAATTGGAGAAGTAAAGGTGAGGAGACTTGTAGGTTGATATAAGAACAATTTAATAATTAGAGTAAAATAAAATTAAAATAGTAATAATAATAGTAACAATGATAACAGCTATATATATGAGTGATGGAGGGTACAATTGCTCTCCACCTGCTGATAACGATCCCAGAGGAGAGAAAAGGAACCCTGAAACCGAAATCACAATCCCAGAAAAGCGAGCCTGAGCGATTCCAGAGAGAATCCCCCTCCTTTCTGGTCAGTCCTGGTTAATATATCATACATGACATAATATGATATGGAATATCTTATCGGCATATCCAACTGTCAGTTCTGGTTTTTACTAACTACTGCACTTTTCTTCTCCACTCCTACCTTCTAGTCCTCTCTTCTTGGAAACTGCCCAAGCAGGGTGTCCTTGTAATCAACATTGTTCTCATAACAAGAGAGAACTTCTAGCTACTAAGAAGAAAATTAACCCTATCATAGCAAAAAGACCAGGACACTCCACAATTGACTTCTTGTGGGAGAAAGGAAGGGGAAGAAATGATTCAACAGAACAACAACATCTTCTATTCAGATGCAGGAAAAAAAACCTAAAAAAACTCCCCAAGTAACTGGAAGATGGAAGCAGAGCAGTATTAAAGTTGCAGGATTTTTCCTTGTCCAAACTGAAAGTTCTTTTGATTTTGAGTCATTGCCAGAAACCAAAGAAGCAAGTAAAGGGATTTTTTTTTTTTTTTAAGATGGATTTGAGAGTTTGAGAAGCTTTTGATCATCTTCAAGGTCCTAAAAAAAATGAAAGGGGAGGCAAATGTAGCCCATGTAACTTAAGGTAGAAACTGCTGCTAGCCCTGCTTCAAAAGAAGTGTTTTCTGGAAAAATAGCAATCCTGAAAAAGGAAAGGGCATTGGAATAAATACCATAAATAGTATGATATTTTGCCCTCAAGTTGGTGCCCGTGTTCTCTGAAGGGGGAGCCATGGTTTATGCCTGTAGGGATAGCAAAATATACTCTGCCTCCTTCTTTGGCTTTTGCTGCTGAAGATCATCTTCTTTCAGGTTGAAACATCCCATACTTAGCTGCTGCCAAAAGTGAGATTTTAATTTTGATGAAAAGATTAAGGTTTTTTAAGCATGAGAAGAGTAAAAATAAGCATTTCCTCTCTGTTAAAGCTAATATAATAAAATGAGGTGTGTGTGGTTTTAAATGGCTGTACAGCTAAAACAACTAAATTACAAAAACTGAAGATTAGCTGTGATTGCAGAGCAATGCTTATATTTATCCTTGATGGACTTGCTTTGGATTTCTCTCCTTTTGTTCAGAGTGAACTGGAGTAACAATGTGTTGCATATGACAATCTCAAACTAGTCACCTCGCCAAGCTAGAACCTGAAATAACAAGGATCACCTTTGCAGAACAAGGGAAACAGGAAGGAAGGACCGTCATGGAGAAATGCAGATTTCTGAAAATTCTACTGATTAGATTTTTGTAGTTTTTAGCTAATTAGCTACATGGAAAGTTTATCTGGTTCAGTGTATCATTGTGAACAGGAAAGGACAGAAGTAGGATATGGGATAAAACACCAGATCAGGTAGGTTCGATCAACACACCGAATGGCTGATACACTTCAGACTGTGGAGAAATGGTTTGCAGGAGACTTACAGCTTTCAGGTCTTCTGATGGATATTCTTGGTTTCATGAATAAAATTCTGTATACTTGTGGCTGTCATGGCTCCAAATTAGGTAAAGTAGGGACATTTCACAGATGGATGACATCCAGCAGGGACGCGTGTCATTCCTTTAAGCATCAGCCATGGTTTTGAGCTCTGGTTCTCGACTTGAGATGCTGCCAGCTGTGCTGATGCTTTCATTGGAAGAGAAGAAGCATGATCTCATAAAATATAGTAGATCGTGGAGATTGTTTCTGTAAAATTGCATAGCCTGGTGTTGCCTGATCTGTGGGGCTGTGAATAAACCATCCAGCTTTCCATGCTATGCAGCAGAAGGAATGCGACGCTTGGGTGCTGGTGTACATGTACAGTAAGGACACTGTAAGTGCTTTTCTGTCCGCTGTCACACTAGTGAAAACAGAGCCTGTAGCATTTCTGCTGCCCTGATTCTGTGCTGCTGCCTGGAAACCTGAAGGAGAGGGGACAGTCCAAGCAACGTTAGCCTGGATCTGGGATTGCCCTGGCTCCAGCAGTTCTGCAGAACATAACACAATTGTTCGTGGGGAGACCTGGGTTACTGTTGACAGGAGCACAGATGTGTTGGCAGAAGAGTGGGGATTGCTAGGCAACTATGTCCGTGTGCCTTCTGCTTAGCTGTGGAGTATTTCATCTCCTCTTTGCTAGTTCTTGCCTTTCTCTGTTATTATCATTTGTATTTGTTGCCTGTTGTAACGTGATGCCATGTAACAAATAGGAAAATGAGATCTCCCCCTGCAGAGTTTATGCTCTGCTACACGAGAGAGGTGGGGCATGAATTAAAATGTTCTCTGCAGGCAGTGATCACATGCATGGCAAAGATCTCACCGACCTGCTGGGATCTTGTATGTTTACTGTGTGCTGCTGGTGATGCTCTGCTATAGTCAACAAAGAAGGTTAGGATTTGAATTTGTGAATATACATATTTTGGGAAGCAACCATGTTTATGAAAAAGTAAAGCTAGCCTCTGGAGAGGACACCTTGAAGTATTGCTTTTGTACTGTCAGGATTTCTCACTTGTAAATCACCCTTCTGAACTAAGATGCAGTTGATCTCATGTAGCAGGTTTTGGTCATTTTTCTAGCTCACTTGTGAAATGCTGCTGCCTTGCTTTGCATGGAGAGCAGCACAGATGTTCCTACACTGCATGGCTGGCTGGCTGAGCAGCCCCAGGGGAAGATCCTTCAATCAGGGCAAGCACAGACCAGGACCGCAGGGGATCTGGGACCGTGGGCCACTGCCACTATGTAGATGGGGTTGTCAGCCCTGCCAATGTCTCTAAATCCAAGTGGAATTGAACATCTATATGTTTGTGTACAGTTTCACTAGATGCCTGGCACAATATTCCAGGCTTTCAGTTGCCCGGGATTTGATACCTGTATTTTCCTTACATTTTGTATTCATATAAACTATGTCAATTTTGCTTTGAGGCTGTCGAAAGTTGAAGTTCAAGGGTAATATAGGTAATTTTCTTATGGCTGCAGATCTGGGTTACAAACAGAATGATATCAGTTTCATCAGCTGAAGCTTGTAGGGGAACATGAAAAACAGAGCATTAAAATCTTTCAAACAATTAAAACTGAAGAAGAAAACAGAATTGCTTTTCTTCCTGCTAATGCTTTAAATGACAGTAATATAGTGATACAAGACATCATGTTTTTACATTAGATATGACATAAAACTTAAAAATATAACATAGCAACAGCCAGAAACTTACCAACTTGAGTATTTAGCATCTTACAGTAAAGTGTCTCGCAGAGCCTTATGTGTGTGCTATGTTTTGGGATGACTGTTATGTTTTCCAGTATATTCGAAAAGGATCCCAATGGAGTTGATTCCCCTGCAAGTTCCAGCCACCGAACCAGAAATCTTCTGGAATTCTCAGCTAGCCAGGAGTCCAGCACAGCTCAGAAAATACCTGATGCCATCATTCCCGAAAAGAGTAATAGGTGAGATGAAAATCCTTAACATGCTTTCAGTGGCAGAGGGTAATAGTGCTTTTAGACCTTATTGCCCTTCCATTTGCTAACCTGTTTGGCCAGTGTTATTGCTGGTTTTATAAAGCAATTGAGCTTACAAATACAGTGTTTTGAAAGCTGATTTTTATTTTTTTATTATATCTCCAAACTTACCCAATAGGTAGAGCTTCAGCAGTGTACACGTGGCTGGTTTTGCCTTGCTGTATGGCGTTAGGGAGAGTGTGGTGGAAGAGAGCATATAAACAAGTGTCTGTTATGGAGATTTTCATGACCTTCTTCAATTCTTCATCTGTCTGATTTTTTCCATGATCTTTATTTTAGCTTGCATAGTTGTGATATTTGTCATATTATCTCGCTCTTCTTACTTTTCAAGCTAGAGTATTTATTTTCTTAGTTGCTCAAGAGAAGACCAAGGAAATTCATGATTAAGAACATACTCTGAACTTAGCACTGTGATTTTTTAGAAATCTCTAAGTCTATCCTTATGCTTACCTATTATTTAATTATCTAGTTGCTTTCAAGCTTCCCAGTTCTCCAGCATTCAGTGCATAAGTGAACATATAATTGTCTCCAGATTGAGGTCTGGCTAATCCAGCTCATGTTTTCCCCTTACAAGATTTATTCTATCAGATTGTCCCTTTCCAGTAGAGTGTTTTGGCTGGTTGAACAAAGCCAGGCACAGATGTGCAAGAAAGCCCTGATGTATTTTGCCATGCAGAAAGAAGGCGATAAATCGGGAACGTTTTAAGGCTGTAGCCATGGTGAGGGCTTTGTGTCCTATGTGGCACATTTCAGACCATGACTTACGTGACAAGTGGTCCTCTTAGGAGGATATGCTACTGCCTGCACCTTCTACTTTTCTTATACTCTTTCACCTCGGTTTTTGGCAAGCAGTGAGCTCTGCTGCTTATTCTCCTTTATCTAGTTCTAGGTGCAGTAAACAGGAGAAGCAGACATGAAGATGGAGAGAGCTGGGAAAGGGAGGGGAATGTGAATAAGGCTTTCATAAGCTCTTATAGCTGTTTTTTCAGAAAGAAGTTGAGGTTTAAGAGCTACGAGTCTGTCAAAACTAAGAGGACTAGGACTGTTCCATTGATACCCTATCAAGAGAGGAACTTACTTAGTTACTTGGTGAGAACTAGTTAACCACTCAGGAGGTACAGATAACCAGGAGAAAGGAATGTTGGTCTTTGCTTTGTTGCTGAGAGCACTGTGGATTTTTTATTGAAATACATGCTCATTTTCACTTTTTATGGAAGCCAAGCTAACTTCTGGAGACTGTTGAAGACGTAAATCCTCTCCACTCAGTTGTAATATAGTTTGTGGCTGCTCCATTGTTATATAGCTCATGGTCTTTACATCTGCATTGTTTTAGTGGCTAATAAATTTAGTATTTCTGTAGCAAATCTTGCACAGCCCTGGAATAAAAGAGAAAGTTACCTCTGCAGAGATCTCATAGTTTGCGTATTATGAGGAATATTTTACAGGCTTCATTTTCTTTCGATATCTGGCCTGTTTGGGAGGAGATCCAACATCTGCTAATGCTCAGCTGCCTGCTGAGTACTATCAGATCCCTTTGGGGAACTAAGACCATTGGATGTTTGATAGACATTGTTATTCACCTGTTTCAGAGGTCCCATAGGAGGAGCTGTAACCTTTGTGGGTTTGCCAGTGGTGCTTATTTGGTCAAAGGTTCATGAAAAACTATTTAAAGGATTTCTTGATGTCTTTTCTTTTTTTCTCTCAGGTCTGATTATTCTGAATCTGATAACAAAGCACTGATGATAGTCTCAGAAGAACCACTGTTATATATTTCACCACCACCACCCCCCTGTCAGCCCCTGATTAACCGGACAGAGTCACTCAGGTAAGCTCTGGGTGATGTTGTCCATTCATAGTGTCCGTCCAGTACCTGACCAGTGCCTCCATAAATGTCTACACTGTGCAGTGTCTACTACCATGAAGACAGGAGAATAACTTGGATCTTTATCATCTTTTGATGTTTTTAGTAATGATTTTTACTCAGTTTTCACATTGGTCATTTAGCAGTAACCAAACAACAACGTTCTGATTGCCTGGAGGTTTTTAATGACTCAAAAGAGAAATAGTTTCATATGTAGACTTGCTCATAATATGGAAAACAAGTCCAGCAAAAGCCTGTTCCATCAGCACTACATAAAAGGTGGTCTCCTACTCTTCAGCTTACGATAGAAGCAGACTTAACCTGACATTGCAGATATGTTTTATTTGCTGTTAGAAAACACCTAGCTCTACTTTTTCCAAAGATATGAGTGTGTCACTAACCTTATCTCCATTTTGCTTTGTCCATTATTTCTCTCAAATTTATTTGACATATTTCAGCCTTCTTTTGTCTTTTAAAAATTTCAGTAGTCCTTCCAGTAATTTCAGAATTGCTGTTCATTGGGCAAAAGAAAGTACTGTATCTGCTTTATATTCAAACATCCATGATCCAAATAATTTATATTTATTTCCTTATGAATTAGCTCATAAATTTAATCTTGCAATTATATGTTCTTACTCTGGTATTAAAAATAAGTTATCATAAGGTAAAAGAGTATTAATCTGCAGTGTCTTTATCGTGGCTAGTTAAACTCTTTTCTAAAATTAAAAAATTCTGCCACTGTTCTTTGAAACATCTGTTAATGTTGTGGATTATCTAGGCTGAATCATGAACTTCGAGGATGGGTTCATAGACATGAAGTGGAACGAACGAGATCTAGAAGGTCGTCAAATAACCAACAGCAGAAAGCCCGGGTTATGCAGGTAGGCAGGTTTATACTGGTGAGTCAGTAGAATGACAAGATAATTTCAGACAACATAAAAAATATTCTCTCTTGCTCGTCTGTGCTTGTCATTATAGACAAAAGTAGCTATGGTGCCTGTAATTAGGGTACCCAACACTTCCCTTTTTAAATTGATGGGTTT